AAATTAGAAAAAGACAAAAAAGATACTTGGCATGGGAAAGAAATAAAAAGAAAACAAGATGCAAGTATTCATTAAGCAGATGGGAAAAAATTAAAAAGATTTACATCAAGCAAGAGGAAGGGAGACTGTTTTCATGTGCCATTAAGAAGAGTATGATTGCTGCGTCTTTCTAAGAACGTTGATAACAATTTTTATTAAAAGACTTAATAGTCCACTTCAAGGAGCCCGTCCCTAGAACAGCATGGTAGGATTATAGATGTGTGTGGGGGCTTGTCTTAGAACTGCTTGTCACCACAAAACTTGGAAATAGTCTGCTATGGTTTTTAAAGATGTATTTTATGTGTATGAGTTGGTTTATGTGTGTGTGTGTGTGGTGTGTGCATGTGTGCATGTATGTAAGTGCACTATGTGTAGCTTGTGCTCTGAGAGTTCAGAAGAGGGTGCAGAATCCGCTGGAACTGGGTTATACATGGTCGTCAGTTGCCATGTTGGTTCTGGAAACTGAACCTGGATCCTCTGCAAGAGCGTTCACTGCTCTAACTAACTGCTCACAATCTTTGAATAGGTGTGATCTAGTGAGTAGCTTATGTGCATACACAGTGTGAGTTCCCGTAGTCATTGCCGGTGAGGGTGGAAAGGGCGGAGCTCAGCCCCTGGCTAGAAGATGAGACAGAGCCTGCTGCAGTACATGTCTGCACTTCAGAACCACTTAGAGCTTCCAGTGTAACGTGACATGGGGATGGCAGCCAGACACAGCGAGCCTTTAAAATGCCGGCTTCATTGTGCTGTTAAACCATAAGTGACCCCATGGCCTTTCAAACAAACAAGCAAAACCAAACCAAAACAAACAAACAAAAAAATCCAAGAAACTAACTGTTCTTGAGGTAGCCCCTTCTAGTGTGCACTGAGTTAGCTCATGGTGGTATCTGCAAAGGGCCCTTCATCATTTCTACTTGGGAGCTTTCTTCCACGTAATATCTGAACAGTTGTGTAAAGACTTGCTGTATTTATAACTAAAAGTTGGAACTATGTTAAGTCTGTTAAGAGGAGATTTTGAAAACAAATTCTGGTATGTTCCTTTAATAGTACTCTGGGTCCTTCTAGATGATTCTGCACATCTGGAGTTACTGATAATGAAGTCCATTATTTGCTACAGGCTTATGAAGCAGTACACATATAATCTCATTGTGCTTAAAAAAGAAAAAGCTGGGCATATGTGGTAGTGTATCTCTAGTCCCATGTAGTGGGTTGCTGAGGTAGAAAGGATATCTTGAGCCTCTGCAGGAATTTTAGGCTTGCCTGGGCAACACAGCAAGACCAAGTTCAAACAAAAACCCAAACCAAATCATACACACTCATGAATCTAGAGGATGTAAGTCAAATGCAAATAAAGGCAATCTTATTTTGTTACAATTTCTACTTTCTAACTGTTTTATTGTGAACATGTCTTACTTTTAGAATTAAGAAAAAAGTGTTATAATCACTTTTTTTGGAGAAGGGGAGAATAAAGATTTGAGCAAAATTAAAAAATAAAGTAAAACTCTATAGTTCGTTTGAAAATCATTGGTATCTTCTCCCAGGTTCTGTACTCATTGCCTGTCACAATTAACAGAGTATTTACTCTTTTTTGTTTGTTTGTTTGTTTGTTTGTTTTGTTTTTCAAGACAGGGTTTCTCTGTGTAGCCCTGGCTGTTCTGGAACTCACTCTGTAGACCAGGCTGGCCTCGAACTCAGAAATCCGCCTGCCTCTGCCTCCCAAGTGCTGGGATTAAAGGCGTGTGCCACCAACGCCTGGCAGATTATTTACTCTTGACTTTTCCTTTCCTCTGAAAATAATACTTAATTCATTCTCTGGGAAATGCTGGACCACAGGGAAGCCGCTGATGGTAGTACCCAGAGAGCTCCTGGGCTTCAGGAATCTGGGTGAGTTTAATAAGTCCTCAAAAGAACCAGAGCCTGAGCCTGAGCCCAGGGTAGCTGCCCAGCAATGTCTGCATGATTGGTGGGTGTTTGAGAGCTAGCACAACTTGGTTTATCAGGGACAGGTCATCGGAAGAGAGACAGTTAAGAAACCCATTACTAAACAGGAAGGAAGTTAGATGGAATAATAATGCAGCCACCGTTGATCTGATTTCTAGAATAAAAATAGTTCTGTTAAAAAAAATGGAGATTTAATCTGTAATTTAAAAGCAAGGAATAGTTCCTGTTTGTGATAGACTTTGAATTGAAGACAGTAGGTGGCAGTGTCGCTCACACTAGGGAGACTGGAGGGGAAGGAAGCTCATTTGAAGGTTCCTGACTAGAGGTGATAACTTCCTTCTTATGTGACCATAGATTATGCTAGGTAGCAGTAGTCTTAAAAAAAGAAAAAAGAAAAGAACTTAGAAACTCCTCCAGTCTCAGGGAAGAAAAGCACGTTGTCATTTCTTAACTTTTTGTCTCTGAGGAAAAGTACAAACATGATGGGAAAGCTGACATCACAGCCCCTAAAGACATGTCTAGGACGATGGATGCTGTTTAACCATGACCTTACCTGGCAGCTTTCCTTTTATGTAAGAAGAGTAATGCCAGGCCCTGGTTCATGTGTAGATCAGCAGCACACATGCTCTTGTTAAGAAGAGAGGTGGTGTGCAGTCTGTGAACGTGGAGGTTGGTGGAGAAGACACCAGGAGAACAAAGAGAGCTGAAGAGATTAGGATTTTATAACCAGTCTGAGATAGCCAGTGCAGTTAAATGTGCCACACGGACCAAGATGCCAGGTGCTAAAAGTCTTAACATGATTGGCAGTCTGATGAATTATGTCTGCCCATGTCCTTTGTGACCAGAAGAAAAGGAAAACACACTTTTACAACTTACCTGTGTGTGTGTGTGTGTGTGTCTCAGATACCCTGGGGCTGGAGTTAGAGATAGTTGTTAAATGCTGTGTGGGTACTGAGCATTGAACCTGGGCAGATGAATTGTTGCAACTTCAAGGCCAATGTAGACTATGTCGAAAGTTCCAGGCCAGCAAGGGTTAAATGCATGTTGTATCAAAACAAAAAAACAGAAAACTCTTAGCCATAAATAGACTGGGTATAAAGAAAAAGTGGAATTTCTAGTGTTCTCAGTTTTTGTCATTACTCTTTGTGTCTGAATGTTTGAACCCACTCATGCATGAAATGACAAGGAGCCAGACGCGCTGGCTTCAGAGTTACCCTGTTTCTGTTAGCAGAGAACCGGGCCGTAGACTTGTCCACTCATTGTGTGTACTTGCCTAGACTGGGTGGTCTGTCCAGGTTAGAGGAGGCATCTCACAAGACAGCCTCTAAAGTGTAATCCTTCGAAGAGATGTCAGTCTGCTTCTCTAGCTCAACTTTTGTTTTGGCGCTGTGTCTCCTAGTGCAGACATTAGCTGTCAGCTGCTAAAATTAGACATCTCTCCATCTTGTTTATCTCATTTTATCCAACATTAGAAACGACTATGTGCTTCTAATAATAGTCTGTACTAATATCTTATAACTGAAGTTACTTTGTATCATTTTTAATATGTCATGGGCTCATGTATGCCATGTGTGCCTGAGTTTTAGTCCTGGAACCCATAGTGGAGAAAAACCAACTTTGATGTGTCCTCCGACCTGTTTACTGTACTCACTTAAGTGCACAGTCACGTAATCTCTCTCCCTTTCTCTCTTCTCTTTCTGTTTTACACACACACACACACACACACACACACACACACACACACACACACA